AAATAAGTAAATCTCAATAATACCAGTGAGCAGCATTGCATTGTTTTAATTTCCCTATTTCCTACTCCCATCTCCCCAGCATTGACATAGCCTTGAAAAGATACAGCCCACAATTATGGTGAAAATCAGCAGCCTAATATCTGCTGAAGCTGGTAGAACAGAGCTGTGGCTCTTTCAAAGTCCATTATTTGACTTATCATGTGGTTCTCTGGAAGGCCCTACATGCAAAGCTGTCTTTATTTGACCTGACTCTTAGCTCACCCAGTACAATAGCATATGTTGAAAATAGTCAGAAGCCATTTTTTCTTGTAGTTGTTTGTTTAGTTTTTTGGGTTTTTTTGTTTTGTTTTGTTTTGTTTAGGTCTTTGATACTAATTTTGAGTTAATTTTTGTATGTAATGTAAGATAAGAGTCCTAAGTGTAAGGCTAAAAAACTATAAAACTTTCAGAAGAAAACACAAGGGAAAGGTTTTATAAATTGAATTTGGTAATAATTTCTTAGATATGACAGCACAAGTACAGGAGAAAACATAGATGAACTTGATCAAAATTTAAAAATTTTGAGACCAGCAGATGGTGTAATTGTTACATCACTGGACTTCCACATAGTCAGCTGTGGTTTGAGTCCTGGACCCAGTAGCTTAAAACTCACACCAGGTGTGTGTGCATGCCTGCCCAAGATCCTGAGAGAAGAATGGAGGAGAAGGGATTGCAGTATGGCCATCCCCCCTTGGGTGTGATTTTTTTACTTCTGTCTCTCTGGCTCTCTCTGTCTCTCTAGTGAGTGCATGTGGCCTATAGCAAAATTACCTCTAAAAATTAATTAGAAAGTTTTATGCATCAAAGTACATTATCAACACAGTGCAAATATGACCAATGGAATGGGAAAAATATTTGCAAATCCTGTATTTGAAAAGGATTCTAGATTAATGTCCATAATTTATAAAAGCTCTTATAATTCAACGAACAACAAAAACAAAGATTTACTATTAAGTGAAATAAGCCAGACTATATAAGACAAAGAAAGCATGTTATCACTTAACATATACTGACTGGATGTCCAAACTCTATGACAAAAACTGAAGGATTGAATGTCATAGAAGGAGAGAAATCAATGGTAGATGCCAGAGACTACATGGAGGAGTCAGAAGGGGTTTGGAGAAAGTGATTAAGGCACAAGGATTTTATCGCAACAGAGTCAATCTGAATATTTTGAATGAAAAGAAGCATATGAGAATCATGGGAAGTGGTCTTAGCCTCAGGGCATCTCTCTCTCTCTCTCTATATATATATATAGATAGATAGATAGATAGATATAGATTATCTAGCACAACAAATATTGAATGAGAACAACATAATGTTTATTGTTGAAGATAATGAGTATGTTTATATTCTTGATTTGATTGTCACACACTATTTGTATGTTATTGTATGCTTTCAAAAACCATACTGTGGGGCCAGTAAATGGAGTAGTGGTTACATGGCTAGACTCCCACATGGCCAACCGTGGTTCAAATCCCAGACCTGGTGGTTTGAAAATCACACCGGGTGTATGTGCTTGCATGCCCAAGATCCCTGGAGGAGAAAGGATTGTGGTGTGGCCATCTCCCCTAGGGGAGGGAGGATCTCTCACGGACCCACTTTCCCTCTCACTGTCTCTTTCTCTCTCTCTCTCTCTCCAGCAAGCACACATACCCTAAGGCAAAAACTTAAGGAAAAAAATTTTAAAAACCATACTGTACCCCACAAAGTTGTACAGTAATTATATGTAAATAAAAACTTACTAAAATAAAAACAATAAATATCTCTAGCCAACCAAGGTTTATGACTCTTTGTCTGTGAAGGACCTCATGCTGATGCTCTACTGGCCAATCTTTGGGAATCTTTAATGCGAGAAACCACTGAACTTGGAATTAGAAATCTGGTGTCTAAAACAAGATCTCATAATAATGCATTGCTGACACTTCGTCTCATTTCTAAAAATAAAATAAAGCAGTAGATGAGTGAATTTCTGAGAGGTCTTCTGTTTTTTACTTATCTGTGATTGTCATATTGTATAAAAAGAGAAAAAGCCAGGTAGGAGCCTTATGAGAAGAAGAAGAAGAGTAGAGACCCACATCTCATCGGGAATGAAGTGAATAAAGAAAGCTGTTGGCTTTGTTTTACCCAATAGAAGACAATATGGTTGTTTACAGTTCAGATCTATGTAAGTCAGCAAATTACTTCTCTTTGCCCTAGTTAGAGAGTTCATTGAGACTTGGGATCATGCAAGTTCTAAAGGTTATGAAATCAAACTTCCTTGACTCCCATTTCAATCAACTAGTATTGTAATTATTAACTCGCTGTTTATTTTGAAAGTCCTTGATTAGGGTGGACCACGGGCTTCTTCTTCATGACACACACTCAGTAAACAATGAACTTGCTTGACTGTGTTTTGCTTAAAGGGAAGCATGTGAGAATCAGGAGAAGTGGCTCTAGCCTCAGTTCTACCACTTGCAGACACAATATCCTGGGCCAAGGCCCAGCTTTTTTATCCCTAAAATGGGAACAATTTCACCTTAGGCCAAAGTAATCGGGAAAATTAATAATTATGTGATAAGTATAAAACGTCTCTCTTTCTTTCTTTTTTTTTTTTTTTCGTATTCGCCAGAGAGAAAGCAAGAAATCACCCCTCAGGGGAGATGGACACACCACAATCTCTTTTTTGTTTTTTGGAGAGATTTTCACTGTAGGGCGTGTGCGCTCGCCAGACAGACAGAGAGAGACATAGAGACAGAAAGCGAGAAATCACCCCCCAGGGGGGATGGTCACGCCGCAATCCCTTCTCCTCCATTCTCCTCTCGGGATCTTGGGCACGCACACACACACGTCCAGCATGAGTTTTAAGCCACCGGGTCCGGGACACGAACCGTGGTCGACTTCCTGGGAGTCCAGTGACATAGCCATTACGCTAACTGCTGGTTCCCCCCGACACACCACAATCTCTTCTCCATTCTCCACTCAGGATTTTGGGCATGCACACACACATACACACACACACACACACACACACACACACAGCATAAGTTTTAAGCCGCTGGATCTAGGACTCAAACTGCGGTAAACTACGTGGGAGTCCAATGATGCAACCATTATACCACCTGCTGGTCTCAAAACTTCTCTGTAAATCCCTGGAAAAATGAGGGTTGAACATTATGCCAACATGGCCCTAACAAAAATTTAATTTTTGCTTAATAAAGAGCTTAGAAATAAGTGCATTAACCAATTTTTAGTTAATATGATGCTATTGTTGAAGAAAAGACCTTTGTAGAAGCATTGCTATTAGTGATCTAGTAAAACTTATTATTCTAGATTATCTTTTTTTTTTTTTTGAGAGGTTTTTCGCTATAGGGCGCGTGCGCTCGACAGACAGACAGACAGAGACATAGAGACAGAAAGCGAGAAATCACCCCCCAGGGGGGATGGTCACGCCGCAATCCCTTCTCCCCCGTTCTCCTCTCGGGATCTTGGGCACGCACGCACACGCGTCTGGTGTGAGTTTTAAGTCACCGGGTCCGGGACGCGAACCACGGTCGACTACGTGGGAGTCCAGCGACATAGCCATTACGCTAACTGTTGGTTCCCATATTCTAGATTATCTTTCTGTAGGCATATTAAATGCAGTCTCTCATTCACATTCTCCTATCATGGTCCTTCTGTGCTGTAGGTCTGTTCAATGACATCCCTGTCACCGTCTCTCATCCACCACCAAAGCACATGCCTGTTCTACCTCTAATCTCACTTCCTTGATGTGCCATATTTTATCCCCTTATTTTGAAAAATAACTTGACTGCAGATTGAGTTCTGGACTCGACAGTTAAAAACATGCCAGGTGTGTGTGCATGCATGCTCAAAATCCCAAGAAGAAACTGGAGGAGAAGGGATTGTGGCGTGGCCATCCTTGCTGGGGCTGATTTCTCACATTCTGTCTCTCTGTCTCTCTGTTGAGCACCCAGCCCCTATAGCAAAAATCTCTCAAAAAGAAAAAAGAAAAAGAAAAATGACATACTAAAAAAAGCAACAGAAGCAGCCTTATCTAAGGCTCAGCTCAAGCCCCCTTGCTAAATTTTTCTAAGATTGTCTTTTCCCTCAGTTATGCTGAGCAAGTTAGACCTCTTCAGTGATGGAGAGGGGAGAAACCCTGTTTCTTCTTCTTTTGAATCTTTAGCTCATATCCTCAAAGGGAAATGAGGGGTATATATTCGATAGAAAGCCAGTGGCTTTGTAAACAGAGTCAATGTGGTATCCATAGAGAGTAACTAGTGGTTTGGGAAGCTTGCTTTATTTTGCTAAAACCGTTTTCAAGCAGCAGCACTACAGTAAGCATCAGATCTCAGTTCAAACTCTGCTCTGCCACTTGTGAGCTGTGTGACACCCACAGTTTCCCCTGTTCTGCCAGGGTCTTCAATTCCTCATTTGAAAATGAACATACTTTCCAGTGTTTTTAGGGGCTTAATGATAAAATGTGTGTATATTTACTTAAGCAATAGCTTAATATATGTTTGGTCATTCAAAATATAATATGTGGGTTATGCTAGCTATTTGATGTTTGGGCAGCTATGTCATTAATATAATAATTGAAATATTTAAAAGGCTCCTATTTTCAAGAACAGAGATAAAACTTTACAAAATAATTAATTTTTAAAATTTACAAGTCATGGAATACACTGATGTCCTCCGAAGTCATAGATTCTCAGCTGGTCATCAGTCTGAGAATCCGGAATGTTGAGCAATGTTTTGATAAAATTATTTTTTAAACTTTTTCTTAATCTCGCCTGGACATTGGACCATTGTTTCTTTGTTTTAATTAGCACTCTCTGTGCCCTACCCAGATTAACTGAACTAAAATCTAGAGGACAAGGTATTGAAAGGAGGGGGGCAAGACAGACTAAAGAACACTTTTTTTTTTTTTTTTAATCTTTATCAATGGGCCAAAGTCTGCTCTGAAGGGTTTAGGGCTAAGCTAGTTGATTGATTCCTCACATTAAAAGTCAAAGTGACATATTCTGAATTAGCAGAAGCACTATAAAAGCTTTGAATTGCTAGGTCACAGTTGCCTTAGTAAGAAGAGAAGAGGCAGCTTCAATGGATCTAGTTGTGGTCCTCGTGCTCTGTCTGTCCTCTTTGTTGCTCCTTTCACTCTGGAAACAGAGTTCTGGAAATGGAAAGCTCCCACCTGGCCCCACACCTCTCCCAATTATTGGAAATATCCTACAGTTAGATGTTAAGAACATCAGAAAATCTTTAAGCAAAGTAAGTATGTTTAATGCTTCTCCAGTGGCTTGTAAAGATAAGTATATTAATCCTTACATTTAGGCCTATTCTTGGAGGTTAATTATTATTAATGTGGTTGTTGTCATGTCTTTGGTTTTGATGTCAGTTATGTTGGTCTCATAGAATGAATTTGGGAATGTATCTTCAACTTTAGTTTTTTTATTTTTTAAAATTATTTTCTTTAACTTTACTATTATTATTATTTTTCCATTTGAACAGAGAGTGACAGAGTGAGAGAGAGAGGGAAAGTGAGAAAGCTAGCCACCAAGTCTGGGACTCGAACCGTGGTCAACCATGTTGGAGTCCGTGTCCTTAACCACCATGCCACCTGCCAGTCCCCCCAACTTCAGTTTTCTGGAACAGACTGAGGAACTTTGGTATTAGCTTTTTTTTTTTTTTTTTTTTTAGAATTCATAGACTGTAGCAGAAAAATCCTCTGATCTTGTGCTTTCATTTGTTGGGAAACTTTTTAATACCAATTCAATCTCACCAGGTGTTACTTTTCTATTCAGATTTTCTATTTCTTCCTAGTTCAATCTTGGTAGGTTGTATGAATCCAGAAATTTAGCCATTTTCATTTTCATTTTTCAGTTTGTAGGTATACAGTTATTCAAAATAGTGTCTATCATAAAATTCTATAGTAGCAGTTATAATATCTCCTTTTTTATTCTCATTTATTTAGGCTTTCTTGATTTTTTTTTTGTTTAGCCAATGATTCGTTGATTTTATTTATCTTTTCAAAAAGCCATCTTTCGTTACATTAATTTTTTGTATTATTATTATTTTTTGGTCTCAATTTTATTTCTTCTCTGGTCTTTATTATTACTTTCCTTCACTAATTTTGAAATTAGTTTGATCTTGTTTTCTAGTCCTCACCCATGTAGATGATTAAATTATTTATTTGAAACCCTTTTGTTTGATGAAGGGACTTGTTGCTGTAAACCTCCTTCTTAGAAATGATTTTGAGTTGCTTTGCTAAAGTTTCCAAAAATTTTTAAATTTCCATCTTTTTAAAAAAATTTAATTGTCAGAAGGCATGTGTGCTTGCCAGAGACATGGAGAGAAAAAGCAATCCTCAGTGGGATATAGTTATGCCATAATTCTTTTCCTCCATTTCTCTATCCTGTCAGGATTTTGAGCATGTACTCACAAGTACCTGGCATGATTTTCAAAACTCTGGGACTGGAATTCCCACCACAATCTGCCATGTGTGATATGTTAACAGCTCCTGAAGCACTGTGATTAATTCCTGCACTATGGGGATGGGGCTAAATTTCCATCTTGATTCTTCTTTAACCCAGTGGTCATTCAGGAGCATATGATGTTTCTTTGTTGATTTTCTGTCTACACAAGTTTATCCATGCTGAGAGTGAGTGTTGCAGTCTTCAGCAGTTATTTTAGTGGAGCTGATCTCTTCTTTAGCTCTAGAACTACTTATTTCATAGATTCAGGTACTCCCATGTTGGATACATGTATATTCACAATTGTTATGTCTTCTGATGGATTGATCCCTTCATTATTATATAATGATCTTTCTTGTCTTTTTTTATGGTTTTTAGATCAAAACCTGTTTTATCTGATCCTTATAGCTACTCCTGTTGCTTCCATGAAATATCTTTTTCCGTTCCCTCACTCTATATATATCTTTAGAGGTGAAGAGAATTTCTAATAGGCAGTATATAGTTAGGACTTGTTTTTTCATCCTTTCAGTCAATCTATATCTTTGAGGAATTTAATTTGTTTACGTAAACAATTATTCATACACTAGAACATACTTATGTCATTTTGTTAGGTGTTTTCTGATTGTTTTGTGTATTCCTTGTTTCTTTTTTCCTCTATTTTCTATAATCCTGGTTTGGTGATTTCTGAAGTGATAGGGTTTGATCCCCTTCTGTTCCTCATTTGGATAGCTGGTCTACCAGAATGTTTTGTGTTTTTATCTTTTTAATGGTGGTAGTTATTGGCTTTTTGCTTCCAAATGTAGAATTCTGAAGGATTCTTGGAAGGCTAACCTAGTGGTGGTGAATTCCTTCAGTTTTTACTTGTCAGGGAAAGATTTTATTGGATTTATCCAGTTCCTGTCACTGTTCTTGATTAATCTAGCTAATGGTGTGTCAAATTTGTTTATCTTCTTGGGACCAGCAGATGGCATAATGGCTATGTTGCTGGATTCCCAAGTAGTTGACAGCGGTTTGAGTCCCTGACCCAGTGCCTTAAACTCATGCCAGACGCCGTGTATGAAAGTGCCCAAGATTCCGAGAGGAGAGGGGAGGAGAAGAGATTACAACATGGCCATCTCCCCTGAGGGGTGATTTCTTGCTTTCTGTCTCTCTGTTTCTCTCTGTCTTTCTAGTGAGCACATGCACCCTATAGCAAAAACATCTCAAAAACAAATTTTTGTTTATCCTATCAAAGAACCAGCTTTGGTTTCGTTTATTTTCTGTATAGTTATTTTGTTCTTTGTTTCATTTATTTCTGTTCAAATCTTTATTATTTCCTTTATTCTGGAAATTTTGAAGTTTTTTGTTGTTCTCTTTCCAATTCCCTGAGTTGTGTCATTAGGTTGTTTATTTGCCATCTTTCTGCTTTTTTCTTGTGGGCACTAATTGCCTTCATTTTCCCTCTTATGACTGCTTTTGCTGTGCCCCATAGATTATAAACACTTGTTTGTTAGTTATCATTGGTTTCTATAAACCTTTAAATTTTGATCTTTTTTTTCTTTTTTATTTTGAGAGAGATTTTTTGCTATGGGGAGCGTGCACTTGCTGAAAAGACAGAGAGAGACAGAGAGACAGCGAGAAATCACCCCCCAGGGGAGATGGCCACGCTACAATCCCTTCTCCTCCATTCTCTTCTTGGGATCTTGGGCCTGCATGCACACACGCTCAGCCTGAGTTTAAGCCACCGGGCCCGGGACTCGAACCACGGTCGACTACGTGGGAGTTCAGCGACATAGCCATTACACTAACTGCTGGTCTCTTGATTTCAATCTTAATTTCTTGTACAGTTGTAAAGTCATTCAGGAGTAGGTTGTTTCGTTTCTATGTGTTTGTACATTTTTGAGAGCTCTTTCTGTAGTTGATTTCAAGTTTGATTCCATCATGGTTGGAAAATATGCTAGATATAATTTCTATATCTTTGAATTTGTAAAAGCTTGTTTTACGCTCTATCATGTGGTCAAACTTTGAAAGTGCTCCATGTGAGGGTGAGAAAAATTTGTATTTTGTGGTATTTGGATGAAATACTCTGTAGACATCTTTCATATCCATTTTATGTATGGTATCATTTGGATCTTCTATTTCTTTCTTTATTTTTTTTTTTGTCTAGATGACCTGTCCAGAGCAGTTAGAGGGATGTTGAGATATCTCTCCCTTGAGATCTAACGGTCTCTCTTTGATGTATTTAGGTGTTCCAGTGCTGGGTGCATAGATATTTACTAGTGTTACATCTTCTTAGTGAACAAGTCCTTTTAGTGCTATGTAATGTTCTTTGTCTCTTCTTATATTTTTCATCTTAAAGTCTATTTTGTCTGATACCAGTATTGCTACATCCGTCTTTTTTGTTTGTTTGTTTCTATTTGCATGGAACATCTTTTTCCAACCCTTCACTTTCAGTTTATGTATGTCCTTATCAGTGAGTTGTGTTTCTTGTAAGCAGCATGTAGATGGTTTCTGATTTTGCATCCATTCAGCCTGTGTCTTTTAATAGGATAAATTTAATCCATTAACATTCAAAGTTATTATTTATATTTGCAGGTTTATCCCTGTCATTTTTGTTAGCCATTTTTTCAGTTGTTTTTTTGTTCTCCTGTTTCTGTTTGTCTCTCTTTTGTTATCCTGATACAATACTCTCCTCAGTACTTCCTATAGAGCTGGTCTATTATTGGTGAATTCTTGCAAGTTTTGTTGACCTGAGGATACTTTCATTTGTCTTTCCTTTTTTTTTTTTTTATCTTTGTGGGGTTTTGGAGGTATATTTATTTTTTTATTTATTTAATTTTACGTACTTTTACTGGATATCACCGCAGCATACAAAATGTGATTTTCCATCCAGAATACACAGTAAAGTGGTTTAAACATACATGTTATCATCAACAAATAATTTTCCATTTTTTGTTTCTTGTATATATATATATATATATCCCTATTTCTTGCTCTCTGCCATTTCCCATCCTCTTCCCACGCTGTCTCTGGTTTCTGAAGTTGCTTTCCATTCCTTTGTTCTCTCCCACATTGTACTGATTTACGAAACATCTTAAATTAATCTACATACTTTCTTTTTTTTTTAGAGATTTTCGCAATAGGGCGCATGCGCTTGCCAGAAAGACAAGAGAGATACAAAGAGACAGAAAGCGAGAAATCACCCAACCCCCAGTGGGGATGGACACGACGCAATCCTTTCTCCTCCATTCTCCTCTTGGGATCTTGGGCACGAACACACACGCACCAGGCTTGAGTTAAGCCACTGAGTCCAGGACTCGAACAGCAGTCGAGTACATGAGAGTCCAGCGACATAGCCATTATGCTAACTGCTGGTCCTTAATGTAAATACTTTCAATAGTAAGTTCAGCTGATATATACATATCTGTAAGCAAAAGTTGACTTTAGGCATGAAACTCTGTGACTAGAATGAATATACAATATAATACCACAGAGCTGAGGCTATATAGCTTACTGTGATTATCAAATAGGTATTTTTTTAAATACACTTTTTAATTTCTAGAAAGGCAGTTTTAGCTTTAATAAATCAAAATCAAAACATGTTACAGGAACTTTGCTTAATAACAGGTTAGGATCTGTTTGAATAGTAGGTACATGGACCTGTCCACAACTTGAAAAAAGACAAAGCTTCTTGACACTGGAAAACAAAGCATAGAAGGTCAGTAATGTTTTGTTTTGTTTTGTTTTGTTTTGTTCTTAGAGATTTTTGCTATAGGGCATGTGTGTTCACCAGAAAGACAGAGATATAGAAAGCAAGAA